GCTCACCACAAAACCCCCGCCCATATCTAACGAACAGATCCGACCTCCAACCCCGCCCTCTTCTTCTTCTCCGACCACCCGAATTAGCCCCCACACGCTGTTCCCCGAGCTCATCGCCGTCGCCCCCTCCAGATCTGTCTCGTTAGATCTGCTCCACCCGCCGACGCCGCTAGCCACACCCACAGCCGACTCATCGTAGGAAAGATCTCACTTCCCTTTGACTTGTATTTACAATATTTATATTTGTTATTAATTAGTTGCATAGATTATATCATAATATATTATTATCTACGTGGATTGTTTGATGACTGATATGAGACCAGTGGATGTGAGATAGAGATCATGACTTAGTGGCTTTGTGCATCATGACCGAGACTTAGTGACCTATGTGTGTGTGTTGACTTAAAAAACATGAAGATTTTTTTAGGATAGCAAAAGTCATGGTTCATGTGATTGGATGTGGCTGTTTATGTATCTTCCAGGCTCGCACCAGTGGATCGATGTCACCACTGGGGTTGGTTTGTTGGGTCAAAGTGGATCGGTGTCGCTACTTTGGTCCGTAAATATGATATTCACCCGGGTCGGCTTGAGTTCAAACCAGGCTGGAATCGGTTTGCGTGGAGTCCTATTGGAAGCACGTAGGGGATTTGTGAACAGTCAGTTATCCGGTGATATGAACATTGACTCTATGTGAGATATGTACAAGTGACCTATTATAGAATGACTAGTTACATGACTTGTTACCAGTGGATCAGTGTCGCCACTAGGGTTGGTTTGTTGGGTAAAGTGAATCAGTGTCATAAATTTGATTAGGATATCTTCTAGGCTCACACTAGTGGATCGGTGTCGCCACTGGGTTGGTTTGTTGGGTCAAAGTGAATCAGTGTCGTCACTTTGGTTAGGATTTATGGATTCTTGTGAGATGAAAGTCAGTTATATTTCTTTTCATACATAGATCGGGATTAATATTTAATTATCTATAATTTGAGATATATGGTCTATATATGAGGGTTTCCTTGTTTGGATTATTTCGCTCGACGTACTATGTCTCGAGTTATAGATTTTTAAGTATTAATTCTATCTAGTTGTATGACCCTATTACTTGGATTATATTCTGATTGCTAGCTATATGACCTCGTTACCGGTTGATTTTAGATTCTTCTGATTATTATAGTGGTGGATTGCATTTAGATTATTAGTATTTCAATACCATGCTTCTATTATTAATATTATTGTATTTTCTTTGGTCATTCGACCATTCTATTCTCCCTTGTGGGATCTTACCATGTGCCATGCACGCTGACGTACACCTATTTTCTCTGGTGTACGTCAGATTTAGGAGACGAACAGTCTCAGTTCAGAATCGTACAAGAGCCAGAGGATTCTTAGCAGGAGTGCCTTGCAGACAGAGCAGAAGAACAAGTTGAAGCTTAGCTATTTCCTTAGTTATTGATGGTCCTTAGTTTATTTTTTTGTAGTACTTCTTTACTATTTTTGTTGAACGATGTATTTTCATATTTCTTTAGTACTTATTTGGACTATTTTCTAATAAGGACATGTTTGACCCAAACTCTCTGTCTCGGATGATATTCTAATTGTGATATGTCTCTTTTCCATTCTGGGTTGTTCATTATATTCTTACTATGTGTGATCGGGGACCTGTGACTTCACATTGTATATTGTTTGACACTTAGCGTATTTGGTTGAGAAAAAAATATTTATTCTTCTTTATTCTCCTCAATCTAATACATCGC